AACCGTCTCCGGCTTTCGGCAAGGCTTAAGACCCTTGACGATCGACACCCTTTGAGGATCCGCGCTTCCGTGTGCCCGAATGTCGGCACCCGGAAATACAAAAAGACTGCCAAGTCCTCAGCCAGACCAGAAATTCAGATGTCGCGATTACAGCATGCCTACCGAGAGCTTCCGGAAGCAGAAGCCCCTGAAAGTCTGACGCCGGTGGTTTACTCTAGGAAATCGGGCTCAAAGTCGATGGAACGCGAAGGTTGCGTTAGAAGGATTAGCGACGTGCCAGGAACGGACATTTGTGCATACTCGGATGGGTCATCAGAAGGACATGGACGCTCCGCCTGGGGTTTCGTTCTGAAAAAGGATGGGAAACTTATCAGCAAAGAAAGTGGCATCAAGCACGGGGGAGAGGTGCTGGATGCAGAGATAGTAGGAGCAAGGAAGGCTCTGGAGGCCGCACTGGAGTTCTTGGAGAACGAAAAGTGCAGGAAAGTAGGAGGGTCGCAGCAAATCCACGTGTTTCTAGACAGCCAGCAGGCTGTAAGCGCACTAACGATAGGCTCGTCCTCAACCAGCCTTGAAGATGTACGCAAATTCCGTGCGTTATCTAATAAGGCTGAAATTTCAGTGAAGTGGGTTCTAGGGCATGCAGGAATCCAAGGAAATGAAGAGGCAGACGCCATGGCCCGTGTAGCACTTCGAGAATTGCCTAGCCCGGATACGTAACCAGGATCCAGTACTCTGGCAAATCTTCGAGGGCTCATGAATCGCAGACGGCAGAGATTGCTGGACAGTTGGTGGGAAGAGGCCTGTCTGCCTAAATACCGCCAACTCAACCTACAGGTGCGGAGACGCAAACCAACTGAACTGTCTCTCTCTAGGCACCTCCTCCGGGCACTAATTGCAGCACGAACGGGTCACGGCAATTTTGCGGCATACCATCGCCGTTTTAATAATCCACACGCTCCTATGGAGTGTTCTTGCGGGAAGGAAGCTACTCCAACCCACTTTATCCACTGTAGCCGTCACGCACAACAAACGCGTAGGCTCAGACAGTCAATGTCCCACACTGACTTTATCGAAAAGCTTCTCGGGCCCAAGTGCCACGATAGCTTCAAAAATTTTGCGCAGGAAACCGGCTGTTTTGATAGCCATCCTGCCCACTCATCCACTGCTCTCAGCGGGGATCAAATAAACTAGTCATTGCCACAACGCATGACACGAAAGGGATCGATGCGAGAAGTGTCGTTTCTCTGAGGAAATCTTTTACGTACTTGAATTTAGGGTTGAAGGATGGAGTCTCGATTTCGGAGTCGGAGTAGGTGGTGTCTTTTGAGTTGTAATTTACCTTCTACTTTTTCTGTAGCGGGTCTCGCGGTTGGAATGAGTTGGGCCTCTAAGCAGTGATCCCCGCCGGATCCACCAGTCTTGTACCTATAGTGGACCTAGAGCTTTTGCTTCGGACCTTAATATAATGATAATAATAATAATAATAATAAAAAAACACACACGACAGCGACTATAGAGACCTACTGTGAGCATAACTTCCCCAAGAGTATCCATTTTCCTGCTCCCATATAGCCTAGTTAATATAACTGTTGACAGGACTTAAGCACTAGTGCTGGGAATGGAAATAGAATGTACTGAATTGCATATATCATTGTTACATCTATCTTGGGAGTTTCGAAGGTCTATGAATGAGATGAGACGCACAGGCCTCTCAATGTTAGTCAGCTATTATTGTCTGCTGAGCCTAATGGCCTGAGGTCGCAACACCCAACCTGAGTGGAACCAACAATACGCCATATAATAACCAGATATATCATAGCTATATAGTTCTATGCACTATGAATTAAAAAAAAGTATGGATCGTGGCTAGCGCCTCCATGCAGAGGTCATCAAGCGATCCCCGCATGATGACTTGTCTAGTATTACGATCTAGATGAACCGATAGTACAAGCTTGAAGTGTCAAATAATTTTAGGCATGAAATAAAAGCATGATTAGGTCCAGTGTCACAAACAGTAACAGTCAGAAGCGACCAATAGCAGTGTAAGGTCACGAGTCGTAGATAACATGAATACAGACAGTTGCAGAATTACGGGATGCAGATGATGACGTGCATACAAATAGTTAAGGAATTAATTCAGAGACATAATGTTAATTAACAAGTTTAGAGCTTGATTGATCGCATATAAGGGCTTGGTACACTTAGCCCACAGGGCTACATATATTTCCTTGTCGATTTCACGTCGCTTTGGATGCAGTTCCCTATTAGTTTGACACGATTTCAAGGCGGGTGCTTCGATCGCATTTTAATAAAGCGTGAGAATTAAAATTAGATGAATTTCCACATTTATCTTTGATTTCGAATACGGCTATTAGATTCTGAAGTGCTTCAGTAGGTGGTGGGATGATTTTGGAGAAAGTCACGAGTTGAGTTTATGTAGGAAAAAATTTTCAGTAAGTTTTGAGATAGTGAAGACAATCAATTGTTGTCAAGCTAAAATTAGGCAAAATTAAGCCTGTTCGTGGTTCGTATCTGGGATGTAGATGTTTGTATCCGTTAGTTCATGCAGTCATAAAACCTCTGCAGGTTAGGTTTGACCAAAAACTTGCCAACATCAATCCTCACGATCGTTATCTCGACGAAAAACCTCGAATGCAGTCTTTGTCGTAGCTGAATTTCAGCTCTGGGATGATATTTCACTCCCAGGTTCAGTGAGACAAGGTCAGAAGCATTCCATAAAAATTTGGAGACGAGTATGCTATGATTTGGTTGGATGGTGCAGTGGTACACCGTCCGGGCCATCCTCCCAAGTAGATACTGGGTAGCTTGAACGCTTACCCCAATCGAGACAGGAGGAAGCTGGCTTGAGACCAGTAAGACCCACTCACCACACTCGGACAGCTACAGGTGATTCACGCATTGCCCTGTGTTGGGTATGCACGGCAGAGGTTACACGCCATAAGAGTTAACCTCGAGTGGTATCTGCAAATGAAATCTGAGTGTGAGTGTTCAAAATGTCAAATTGAATTGTCCTGCTTAAAGTACATATCTTCCGATAAAAACCTGCATGGGCCTCAAGGCGCCAAATCAGGTAAAAAGAGCTATGTATAATAGATTATGATTCCTTTTGATGGATAGAACAGTGTGGCTGGAAGTATATTCGATTAAGTATAGGGTTGGACAAACGTGTATTATTTCTACATTCTCAGCAATCCCTAAGAATGCTGCTGCCTAGCTCGTACCAACGTTCCGCTACTAGGCTCATCTACACGCGAATATGGAACTACTAGTACAGGATATATGAGATCTCCAAACGCCTTACCCTTTTTACTCATATGTAAATAATAATCACAAGTGGTGTTTTCTGGTATGGTTTGAGTAGCCTGAGCACCTACTCCACTTGGGAAGGAGACACCTCAGACCACATTTCGCGCGGAGGAAATATAATGTATGACGGAGGCATGTCTGGACAACTCAGGGTTTTTGAGAGGTTTCCCTGGGTGGGTATTCACGGATGAGGGTTGACTTGGGGCGAAGAAAAAGCCGCCCTAACTTCGCGGAGGTACTTGCTCATGAAATCCGAGGCATGAATGCTCCTCCCTTACGTTGAATCATCTATTCTGTACTTTTCGTTGATATTGTGTCATAGCTGGATAGCTGCAAACGCAATCAAAATCTGATGCAAAAAATATAAAAAATAAAGTAATAATAATCAAGACTATAACTCCGTTATGTTTAGATGCAGGGATAATTATGTTTGACCAACGCTCTTATAATTCAACAGAAACTGTAAAGATGGCTCTGATTAGGATTGTTATCCCTAGACTGGTTGTTAACGACTTGGCCCTTAGGTTGAAGATACTGGGCAATGTATGGTTCAGTATGGAAAGAAGTAATGCTTCCGAACGATTCTGTAGATTAGAATAATTGTCTGACTTTACTCTCGGACTTGCTCTGGTGTCTACGATTATCAATTGCTCACGCGAAGAAACCCATACCGAGTCCACTTGGTGTAAGACTTTTACATGATAAGAAAAAGAAAAGTTGGACAAGTGTCTGGCTTGTGATGCACCGCCTGTAATGATCGTGTTCACGATAATCAATACTAAACATGCCTTTTTACGTTTCAGGGTATTGACCAAAAGATGAAAAGTTGGACCAGAAGTGAGCATGGTAGGTACAAAGAAGAGAAAATCGAATGTGTTTATAGCACTGTGTGCATCTCTTACCATTTTAAGAATGATGTTAATATTTTCTTTCGACCTGAAATTATCTATCTTTGAATTTATTGGTAATAAATGAACAAAACACCAATTTTTAATAGTATTGGAAAGTTAAATCAAGCCATCAAGTTATTCGCTACTTATCTATAGTTAGTTTAGTTGACATTCAGTGTGCTAGTCAATTCCCATTATATCGATCTCTCAATTTGAATTCAAGTATCAAAAATAAACTGTTATCATCAGTGACTATTGAAAACCCTTGAAGTCTTTCCCACCGAAGTTTTGATTGTAGTAGCGACATCCATCATCTATCGGGCTTGAGTAGCTTTCCAAGAGATGCAATTTTCTAATAGCCGAGTATTGCAAATTTATATGAGTTAGTTGTTGATATAGACAGTCATCGTCGCCAGAGGAAGAGATGGTAGTGAAGATACCAATGGGCCATGATGACTATTTATGAAGAGTTGCAGTATACTGGTAGCAAGCTAGGATAGCTCTATATACAGCCATAAAATTTAGTTTGCTGTAAATTGATTATTATTATTGGTTTCTTTTTCTTTTCATTGTTCCATATATTAAAAAGTCCCGACTTAAAATTGGAGCCAGGACTTGCAAGGTATTTGTTGCCTATTTGTAGTCTCTCTCTAATTGTTGATTTTGCAACTGTTTTCGAGAAAGTTTCCTCAGGAGGCCAGATAAAGCCTTGGGGGCGCCAAGGACGCTTGGTTAATTCAGCTTAGGACGTAAGATATGTTATGCCCATCACTGAGATTGTCACCATCCACCTCTGAATCCTCTTCCTCTCCCCCGAAACCCACCACGTCCGCCTCCTCTTCCACCAAATGATCCTCTTCCGCCGAATCCACCGTCGTCAAAGCCATTGCTAAAATTATTGCGGCTTCCGTCCGCGGCACTGTCTGTTTCTGCAGGAGCTCGCCGGCCTCTAAGTTCTTTTGGAAAAGCTTCAAAGGTTTTTCTCATATTTGCATACCCTAAATGCATTTTTCCATAGAAGTGGTCTGCTAGTCGTCTATCATTGTCCAAGCGCGAGAGGTAAGCTCCGCACACGTCGCATACTTGTAACTTTTGATGACCGGATGGCCCACTTGTATCGCTTAGGCTCTTCAAGTCGCGTTCTTTCTCGCTTTTAGTCTGCATGGCCTGGCGAATACGAAAAAACTCTTCATACGCTCGCGAAACCTCGGAAGCTTCTCCTAAAACCTGAATCTCAAGCAATCCAGATTCGATACTTTTATTTAGGTCACTAATCTGCTTCAGTAGCGCGTTTGTCTGGCGTATCTCATCAGGCGTTTTTTCCAGCCTCCTCTGTGCTACATCAATCCTACAATTACAGTCGTCGATATACTTCTGAAGGTCACGCATATAATCATATTCGAATCCCCATTTCTGTTTTTGTAGTTCCGGAGAAGCGTCGTATTCAGATTTCAGCGGTTCAGAGTGGATTTTCGGACAAGGGCCAAGATCTTGTTTGGTATTTGTGAAGAGGTCGTGTGGACATGTACCCACGAGAAATGAGCGACAGAGTTTGGGGTCAGTTATGGATATTTGGGACGTGAGGGAAGAATGAGATGCGCCCATTAGCTGCTCTGACAAATGTTAGTCGGAATTAAATATTGTGTCTGATAGGAGTATTTTTGGTGAAATATTTGTATCAAGCTTACCCAGCAATTTCCTTTGTTCAGCTGCCATATTGCTTTACTTTTTGAATGATAGATAATTTTTGGAGGAGTATCACCCTGAGGCTATTATACTGTTGAACTTGTACGCAATGAACAGCAATCCAATTACTTGAGTGTGCTATGTTATTATTGAGTTATGGAGGTTCTGAATAAACTTGTTTATAATAAATTGTTCGTTACTGTGTCGTAACCACTTGCATCAGGATCTGACTAATAGATGAAAGTAAATCGATACTATTACTTATCAGACACTAGTCCGCATCTAGTGTACAGATATCGATGCGGATCCAATGCCCAACTGTCGTACACATCACTGAACCGTGAGTAGAAATTATGGTCAATTCCTGGTGCTTACAGTCTTAAATAATTAATACACTCGATATTTGACGTTCATGCTTTGTTCGAAAATGTGGTAGTATGTTTATATTCTTATACACATACTGTTCTTCCATAGCCAAGGACATTGACATGCATGTCACCTATTCATCAAATGGCTATCTATAAAATTGGCTCTTATCGGGAATAGTGTGGATAGAAAATTGTACGCGGTGTTCTCTATGAATCTCAGTGTTAAATGTCCACCCAGAGTCAAGTTCAGTCATATTTCGCAATACCGGTGAAGTAGGCCTAAGAGACAATGATTCAATATCCTAACATTATTCTAATCCGCTACCAAAGGGACTGATTCTGATCAAAGCCTTATCCAGTCAATAAGTACCACCTTCTGCAAACAAACCTCCCTGACTACACTTTACATTGGCCCAGTCGCTTACCTCAGCTGACTTCCAAATCAACGCCCGTCAAATTATGAACATAAGCAAGAGGAGAAAATCTGTGGTGCGCAGATTTTGAAGCAGGTCTTCGATATTGACCTAGGAGAGGTCAGGCTAGGTAGGAAATTTAATGATCAACATGAAGCTATTCCCGAGGGTTGTGAAATATACAATTTTGAGAACAGGTTTTTTACACTGAAGAGCATTTTGCAATCCACTGTCTATTTCCCGAGAGTGCGTGCGACACTGAAAACACGGCCATAGCTGGATGGAACAGTTGTATATCATTTGGACTGATCCGTTGAGTAGGGTGTGGGCAGCCTCAATAGATCTTATTAAAGATAGAAGATTGCTGTTTCGAATCTGAACAACACTACTACATTTCTTGCGGCGCTGGTGAACATGGACGATAGAGGTAAGCTTAGATAATTAAAGGTTTTGTAACGTTCCTTTGGTGAGTACTCACTGAGGAGGGTCGATTGCTCTCACTAAGTTAATATTCATCACATCAGTATTTTCAAATGAAATTCAGTATATTACTGTCACTTGAGTCAAAAAGACAATCTTAGACATGCACAATACACTGATCCTGTGTGACATCAAGATAGCTGAGTACACATTAAATGATTTTTTTTGAATTTGCTTTCATTTAACTCGATCAGGCACCCTATGGGTCCATACAGGTGACTATCTTCATTATTTTCAAAGGAGGAAACCAATTTGGTGAAAACTCACTGACCCTGTCTGTTTACATTCCTATCAATTTGTTTAGTTTATCTTCAAGAAGTACAGTGTACACTGTTCAGCCAGTATTGATTCCGTCCTCTCCCCTACCAGATTGATTGATGATATCTGATATTGCTGCCTCGACCTCCCCAGCAAGTCGAAACTGTATTATCCATCCTTTGCTTAGTATCCACTGTATCATTCTAGCTAAATCTTCTGGGCTGTTCATCATTGCTTCAAATGATCTGTCCTTAGCTCGTCACAGAAAGTCGCCTATTCCATTTGCCAACTGCGGACACGCCAACACCATGTGCTCGACGTTTTGCGACGGACATCCACATTGTCAGCTTGGCTTTTCTACTCCGGGTACTTTTCTCCTGCACAGGTAAGAATTGAGTCCGATATGCTCGCTCCTTAGTTGAATGGCGACACTGCTTTGAGCCCCGGTCAGGTTACGGTGGATTTTTAAGGGTGTGACTTTGAGTATTCATTTTGGTGCTGCCTGTTTATTCATCAGTAAATATATCACATTAAATGATTAAAAATCGGTGTATGTATATTTTTTTTCATTAACGTGCTAGATTAAGTGACTACCATTGCACTCCTACTGGAGCTTAAGCACGAGTGGGGCCGGGCCGGAGTAGGTTAACTACCATTAAGTACATCTACCTCATTCCACCTAAATGACTGAACCACCTCAGATTTCACCTATATGTTGAATCATACCAAGTCTGACCGTCCAGAAACCCGCTGTATACACGCCGTGGCGCAATTTCCTCCCCGGCCTCGGCCACCACGCGCCCGAGCCCTTGACATCTTCATTGACTCCCAAATAAAAAATCCCTCTAAGATCTCATCATTGCTCTAGCCTTGCACCTTCACATTGTACCGTCGGGTTGTTGTTGTCATTGGGGATCTGTGTGATCCCCTCGGTGTATCTTCCCTTTTCTACCTCCTTTGTACACGTCTCGTTTTCATCATGACTTTCCTCACTAGGGCGTGTGTAGATAGGTGATGTGACGAGTATGGAGGTAGGTCGCAGGTGTAGAATCGACTGAGAAATGGTACGTCGTAAATATATAAGGAGTTTGAGAGATGTCCAATGTGTGAATACGACCCCCAGACAGAACTAAATACATTCGTGAATCGCATGTTGGTGGTGATGAGTTTTTAAATGACTTGTCCCGACTGTAAAATCTCTGTCGATTGATTTTTCGACCAAAATATCAAGTGCAACTCCTTCAGGTCGAAAATCCATCAATTAAAAATCATCCCACCCTTTTTCGTGACTGAATCTCGGCTCTGGGAGAATATTTCACTCCCAGGTTCGTAGAGGACACCACTGACAAGTGTTTAGCCTTCGTCCTCCTCTGTGCATGTGTATATCTACGTTACTGTTAAAGAATCTGGCTATGTTATTCTTTTTTTGCATCAGATTTTAATTGCGTATGCAGCTATCTAGCTATGACACAATATCAAAGAAGAGTACATAAAAAATGACTCAATTTATAAGAGCACTCATGCCTCGGATTTCATTTGCAAGTACCACTACGAAGTTATAGTAGCTTTTTCTTCACCCCAAGTCATCTAACTATGTTGCATAGCAAGTTAAAATGCTCTTGAGCCTTGTCTATTGTCTTCAGTGTACTGACTTAAAAATTGCAGTCCTTATCTATCTCTGGCCGTCAGGGAAGTGTCTTTATACAAAAATTGAGGAACTTGTTGTGCGCTACAGATAAGCTGCTACTGAGATTTAAAGTATAAATGAGGTACATTGAATCAGCAAATAAGCACCTTTAAAGTTGAAATGAGGACACGATAGATAGTGATGATCCCCTATTGATAAATAGGCTCGTTCCATCCGTAGGGATAATTTATTAAGTGGAGTCATCACGAGTAGAGATGACAGATAAAATTTTGGCAGATAATAAGAAATTAGTATCGTAAATTGTAGTATCTGTGGTAGTTGGTGGTTTGCTAATCGCCCCCTCCGATGTCTGAATTCAAGTTATGACTTGCGGTGTCGAATGACAAACAGGACACCAAAATGGTAGATCAACTGTCCCCGCAAGTTGTTGGCCTGAAAATACTTAATCCACAGCAATGTTTGATTTTGGAAGAGATATTTCGCGAAAATGAAATCAACGATATTGAATAGCTTGACAGCAATGTGTGGGTGAGATAAGCTTTTACAATCACGTCCGTTGATGATCGGGACCGAAGCAACAGGCCTCATTATTAGTTTGATATTAATATCCACTAATTCACTTTCGAAACATCTTGAATTTTTGCAGGCATCTATGTCTCTATTTGTATTAGCATGCGCGTTTGTATTTCCTCTGATTATCAACGCATTTTCAGAATATCATGAGCAGCTTCACCTCCGGCCGCTAAACGCAAATCTATTGCTGGCATCTTTCAATTTTCAATCCAATAATACACTTAGAGAATTCAATCAACAAAACTATAGATATTTCCCTAGGTCACTTGGTCAAATTTTAAGTCACGCAAACACTCGAGAGCTACATTTACGTTTTAGTCTCGGACGATGGGATGCTCAAGGCTGGGGAGCAAGACCATGGAATGGCTTTAAAGAAGGTGGAACCGGTGTTGAGCTATGGGCTTGGATAGAAGCTGAAAGTTACAAAGAGTTTGTTCCTCTTGCTTACTTTGAAATGAAACTGATCAACCTAGATCAGAAAGAAGATGGCTTATCCTTACGAATGCATTATCAGGGCTGTTTTGCGCCTCTTTAAATTTCATAGATGCCACTAGGACAACCAGGCCAGTTATGTCCTTTCAGCCATCCGGAAATCATCCCAATTCCTCAAATGAGAGCCTCCATCTGCTACATGGAACATTGCCCCGAGAAGTGGTCTGTACAGAAAACCTGACACCATTCCTAAAACTTTTACCATGTAAGGCCAAGGCCGGGATTTCAAGTTTATTGGATGGTCACAAATTATTCGATGCAAACTGGCAGACTATGAGTATTGATGTCTATCCAATCTGTCCCCCAAATTCTGAGTGCCAATTACAAATCACACAAACAATCGACATGGTACTCGATATTCAGCGTTCGAAAAGACCAAGGGACAACCCGATACCACGACCTGCTCCACGTGAAGGGTTAAGATGTGATACATCGAAGTCTTACAGCTCAGATGATACGTGCTTTCCTTTAAATACATCGGCTGAAGAAGAAAAATGGAGCTTATCGGAAAACTTTGGGCACCGAATTAAAGGAAAATGCCCACTAATGAAAGCTGGCATAGATCCTATATGTATAACTGTACCAGAATTTAGAGACGTTCAAATAGTTGGTGGAACACTCAGAAGTAAAGATTTAAAGACCAACACTCGATGTTATGAGCTGGAGGCTGAGAGCGATTTCGACATGATACTTCCACACCAAGAAATAACAGAGAAAGTACCACCGGAACAACCATTACTTTACGCTGAGCGATCTTTCACTGGGTATGGGCAAGAACGTGGTGGTGTTCAGTCAATATTATCGAATCCTTCTTTAACAGACCCAGTCGAAATTGTATATTTTGAGACCCTTCCGTGGTTTATGAAACTATATCTTCATACTCTTCACGCTAAAATAAATGGATTGGACAACGGATTAATAAAAGAAACCTACTATCGTCCAGCTATTGATCGCAAAAGAGGTACACATCTTGAAATACGGATACGAGTCCCTGCCAATTCAACTGTAGTGCTTTCTTATGAATTTGAAAAGGCCATACTACGCTATACTGAGTATCCTCCCGATGCTAATCGCGGCTTTGATGTCGCACCTGCAGTTATCACCATTGGGAACACGAGTATTAGAACAACGTCACTTTTACTATCCCTTCCAACCCCTGATTTTAGTATGCCATACAACGTCATCATACTTACAAGCACTGTTATGGCATTAAGCTTTGGATTTATATTTAATCTCATGGTAAGACGATTCGTTGCGCTCGATGAAGCAGATATATGGGATATTAGAGCAGTAAGGCTTAAGATATTTGCTTCTATCAGAAAGATATTTAACAAACTAAAAAAGCAAAAGACGCGTGAAAAAAACGAATAAGTTAATTTCAACTCAAAATTTTTGGACCATTGTCTGGGATCGCGTTACAGCTCATAATTATGGAAGGAGTATCCTCATTCAAGACTGACACAAAAATACGTGTGGACAGAAGTGTTATACATTCGTTATCAATAGAATGTATCTGTAATCCTTGTCTTTTTGCTTCGCACCGTCCCATTCAGACACAAACTTTGTTGGGATTACAGGATAATATCAGATCTCTACGGCAGCAGGTAAAGCTGTGATGTCGTGTATAAACCTTGATTGCTCAATCTCGCTAAACTCGTGTACTATAAGACAAGCAAGTAAAGTATGTATGAAATCATCCAAAGTTAACTTAAAGGGTAGAGACTAGAAGATAAGTATAGGGAATGAAGCTTTAACATTTTTATTTAGAAATAAAATATCAGATGTTTGTTTGTTTTTGTTTTTAGGTCCTAGGATATACCCATTATCCCCTAAGGGTCAAATACCAGTGTTTATAGCTAAGATTGCATCACTGGCAAGCCCCATTTGTTCCCACATGTGAACCACAACACAAATAGTAGCTAGTTAACTTAAATGCAGCAATACATAAACAGAAATCATAACAGAACTTCAAGCTCCAACTTAATATTAGCACTTCTGGTTTGGAAGCAAAACTCGCCTCGTTGCCCTTCCGATTGAGTCATATGCCATGAAAATTTATTCGGACCTCGCTGAGAGCAGAGGTCGGATATACAGGTGAGCACCCATAGCATTTTGTCATCTGAACAAAATTTCTGAAGTCTTCAAGGCGCTTGGGTCCTAGAAGTTTGCGTATAAAGTCGTCGTGGGACTTTAGACCTCGGATTCGACGTGTTTCGTGAGAATGTAGTCGACAGTGTATGAAGTGTGTATGACGAGTCTCCTCCCCACACATGCACTCACTGGGTGCATCTGCATCACTGAATCGGCGACGATAAGCTACAAAATTGCCGTGACCCGTACGGGCTGCAATTAGTTCGCTTAGTAAGTGCCTTGATAGGGCAAGCTCTGGCGCTCTTTCATTATTTCATTTTATTGTCCTTTCTAAGTCTATGACTATGTAGGACATGCAGGTCCTCTCTGCCTACGGGCTAAGGGTACCTATGCCAGTAGTATGTACGCTCCTATGCCTCACATGCAGCTTCTCTCAAACAGTCCCGCCCCTCACAGATGCTCATTCGATCGTACACTTAGAAGAGGCCTATGCCCTTATTACCTTCCTCTCAAACCAACAAAATGATGGCCATTTGCGGGAGCATGGCAGCCGGGAAAAATCGCAAAAACCACTGGGTGCGGAGCTCTCCTAATACCGACATTAGGACTTAATCCGAAGACATAGTGCCACTTCTGAAGCGTTCGAAGAGGCCGGCCAGCTGGGCGCTGCAGACTTGTAGGTGCCTTGGGGAGTTCACCCTCTGCCTTTCTAGCCTCCTTCTCGAAGGTCGTGCTGAAATGTCAGAAAAGTCTTGATAGAGCTTGATTGCTGTATGGTAGCTTAGCCCAACTTCTTTTGTGCCGTCCAGGGCGCTAGGGAGTGCCGTTGACTCATCGACAAAAGAAGTCCTCCTGGCTAAATAGCAGAAATCTTGGTCTTGGCGCCCACAAAAACTCCAAAGTTGAGAACTCCTCGAAAATATCGGTCCCAGCATGGTCTTCAGAGACCTCTTTCCCCTCTCGCTCCACATAACAGCCGCCTTTCCTTCCTCAAGATATATAAACCCAATAGAGCAATAGTTCCCCATAAGCCAGGACCTAGGCTTTGTATGTTATGACTTAATTTCCTCCTTGCGGGTATATCTAGCGTCGTAAATTTGTAGTGAGTGATGGCCGGTAATCAATGAGGCCAGCTCCTGTCTACAATTGGGGAGACGCCTTTATCGGTCGTATAGGCGAGATGATATGTGTTTGGAAAAAGGTTGAGGACTCAGAAGATGATGGTGAATGCTGCATAGTTGAGAATTCGTCAAATGGAGATATGCATGTGTTTGCTTTCGACTTCGATTCGGATGCGATTCTTCTTGGCATTCCAGATATGCAGAGCATACTGAGCGATTACACCGGCACCACTAGAAGGTGAAGAATTTGTCTTTGCTGGCGGCGCTCTTTCATGGATTGCCGGTAAATTGGAACATATTTGGGCGTTTTGATTTGATTTCATTTAGCCCGTTCAGGCACCGCATGGACCCATGCAGGTATATCTAGCTATAATATTTACACAGGAGGCAAGCAAATCTGGTAAAAACCCCCCAAAACTGTCTGTCTCGTGTTTATTGATTTTCCGAGATTTCCTTCAGGAAGTGCGTTCACACTATTTATACAGTGTGAATCCCGTCTTATCCTTGGCCACATTATGTTCGGATTAGGTCCTGGTCAACGATGTCTAGCCTAATTGCGCTATGTTGCAGGCTACTGTTACAATTATTCATGGGGTCATCATCAGGGTTGTGAATAGTTTCGGTTTGGTGCGGGTTGTTAGATTGATACCTGAGCGTGTCGTATAGTAGTCAGATATGCGACTCGAGTAGCATATGCACGGTAAACCTCAACCCCAAAATGATGATACGAATCAGGTTTTACATGCTACGTCCTGTGTGGCTAGCCTGGTCGGAATATAGGGAATTTACCTGTAAATAGATAAAGACGTTGTAGCCCACTGATAGTTGGGACAAGTCTTCTACAATATTATATCGGAATCAATACCAGCCTCTCATTAAGCAATCTCATGAATTATTTCCAATGTCTGTGATAACAGACATACATAAATAAAGTCGACAACATTGTCTCATCTTCTCGTCCGATGCTATTTCTACTTCTCCTGCAAGCCGGAATTGTTCGAGCCAGCCTTTTGTCAGGATCCACTTTGTGATTCTCTTCATATCATCTGAGCTCTTCATCATTGCCGCAAATGATTTATCTTCTGCCTTTCGTAGCACTCCTCCTCTTCCCATTGCCCACTTAGGAGACGCCAAGACCGTTTGTTTGGAATTTTGAGACGGATATCCACGCTGGCATTTTGGATTAATCACTCCGGGGACTTTCCTTCGATACAGATAAGAATTGAGACCAACGTGCTCACTTCTTATCTGAACTGCAATACTGCTTTGAGCCCTACTAAGGTTCCGGTGATATTTGAGGGTGTGTTCTATATGTAAATCTTAACCCCAAATAGAATGGAAAAGATAAGTTATATTTAAATAGTCTGTCCTACATAGTTCTAAACTCAAATAGGATATAAATGGATTGTTATTATTATATGTAAACCTTTTTCTGCCTGTTGTCTCATCTGTAACAATATTTGCGGCTTTCCAACATATTTGGGCGTTATTACTTGTTCTACATTGGGGGTACTATTCTCAACACCTGTAAGTGGTGTCCCCTTCCAACCTCCAGCTCTCACTGTAGAGTCTTCAGAGCCGAGATTGAGTAACAAAGTCCTCACTCCGACGAGGATTCCCAATCGCTTGCGCGGTCTGTATCGTCTCCATCTCTCAACCCATTCCCCTATCACCATTATCATGAAGCTAACCACGATCAGATCAGATGGTACGGTCGGAACCCTAATTATCACCAACCCTTGATCATGGAGGAGATGCCATCCGATGAGTTTCCGGAGCGTACCCAGCGCCCGACACGGAGATGGTGGATTGGATCAAGTCGACCTCGACTGTTACAAAGAAGGGATATGTAGATGAATATGCGCACCTCATGTGGTCCCGGTATCTAGGCCTCGCCTTGCTGGGGCTGCAGGTTTTTTGAGACTTTTTCCCGCACACGCAGTTTCCATTGCTACCATTTTTATTCTTTTTGGGTAGAAGGTTCCGTGGAACAGGTGGCTGAATTCCATGGGTAAATACTGAGTTGAATGGCTATTCATCAAGGGCAATATATCAATGATCTTTCAGGTAACAAAAGAGGCAAGAAGCACTGCGTGAGGTCTAGCCTGGGTCAGAAAGGAGCACAATTTATTAGATAGTCATAGACTCAAGTAGTACAGTAAAACATTTCCTAGTCTCTCATGGGGTTTGGTTTATTATTTTACGTCTATCTAATATAAATCCTAAGTAGGACATAAGACGCCAAAGCTTACTGCCCTGGATACCTGAGGCCTTTGATTATCCAAACCTGAATTGCCAAAGCCTTTAGTTTTTCTGGGCAAAGGGTTATAGAAGGGTTATCCTGCTCCATAACATGAAATGAATTTGCGATAAAGTTTCTTGGGCATGAAAATACTGGGACAGCTAACTATCTATATATTTGAGTTGGGTTAAAGGGCCAGAGTGTAACATACTTCTGTGCAAATTTTTAGTCAGCATAAACGTGGTGAGATTCTGCTCTGTATCAGGGGCAGATTTTTGAAAAGAATTCTGTATCTTGCAGCCACCGTGTCAATTTTTTTGCTCCATCTTGACTACCAAATTGGTAACCAACTTTATCGCTGTAGCTCCTTGGAACTCTAGGTAGCCTTACTGAGGGAATGTGGCAGGTTAGGAGATGCCTTGGTGACTTGGGAACCCCGCAACTACATATTTTGTGTGCGTCGACGTGTTTGAAACGTTCGTGGTAGGCAGCAAAGTCGCCATGCCCTGAGCGGGCAGCATAAAGATGGGCTACAAGGGAACGATTTAAGAAAAGTTCGCCCGGACATCGTTCGATGGTGTCAATTCCTAGTGCTCGATATGAGGTTTGGGCTTCCAGTGTCCAGAATTCCTCGAGAAGGGAGCCTGTTAATGATTTTAACCGGTTTTTGGAAGATGCCAAAGTTAGGGGCGTGGTTGAGGGTGGAGGTAGGATTAGGCCCGCTTTGGCCGCAGCATTTGCCTGTTCGTTTCCTTTAATCCCGGCGTGTCCTGGTATCTAGAAAACTTTTATTTCACCTGTAATGGTGTGTGGGAGTCGGGGCCGGTTTTTCCAAGCTGTTGCACACTTGGCCAACTGGAAAAACTTATTCTGTGAGGAGCAGATCGGAAAACTTTTTAATTTACATGCTACGTCTT